TAGATCCGCCTGTGCCACGTACACGGGTACAATGTGTGAAACCCATTTCTGGTGTTCCCCGCCGTGATATTGCTAGAATATTGGTTAAAGCTGCGTAAAACCATGTTCACTCACTCACCCCTTGTCCCGAACACCCGTCCTTCTCTCGAACATCCCTCCTCTGTCTTCCCGTAGGTCGAACTGTACAAACGTTGTTCATGCTATCAACCTCCGATCTCTCTGACTCAAGCACGGTCATTTCCGGGTTGCTAGGATATACATAAATATACTGAAGTACGTCCGCATTCAGTCTTCCTTATGAAACAGCACACATTCAAATACAACTCAGTCGTTCGGACCCGAGAACATACTCTCGCCAGAAGTCACGTGTACTCGAGGCCTAATCCACGGTTAAATCTTCCGGGAAGAATGTTAAGAAAGCCAACACTTATGAAACTATCATGCTTTGCTTTATATATGAAACTAATCCTAAATGTTTGGACTGATTACGTACGTTATTGTAGGAGCGCGATCGCACTGTAACAGGGCAGGTAACTCCGTAGACTGTTTGCGTGATTGGGCGGTCAGTTAATTCAGTAATGTCGACAATCAGACAAGACGAATCTATACAGCATGTAGGAATGTCTAAATCCAGCAAGAAACAACTTTCGTATCGGTTTAGTCGTCCGGTGATGGATGTATCTTGTCTGGGTTAATTCTAGGTGTGGGGCTGGTGGTGTCCTAAAAGAGGATCTTGTTCTCTGCTATGTGGTTAGGCTAACACATTCACAAAATGGCCACGCTGATGCACCATGAACAGTAATTGCTACGTTGATGCCGACATGGTTCATCCGTGAACAATTACGTTTAAAAATGCAGATATATATCGTGACTTGGAAATATGTGAGGGGCGGTGGGGTAGCCTAGTGGTTAAAGCTTTGGCTCGACACGCCGAAGACCCGGGTTCGAATCCCCACATGGGTACAATGTGCGAAGCCCATTTCTGGTGTCCCCCGCCGTGATGTTGCTGGAATATTGCTAAAAGCGGCGTAAAACCAAACTCAGTCAGTCAGTGGAAATATGTGAATCGTTCTTTTAAAGCACGAACGACATTAAGATGTATTTGTAAATTTAACAATTAATGTTTTTTTCTCAATAAACTGTTGCATTTTATCGTGAACTTTCACTAATGCTTATATGGGTTTCCGGGTCCGGCTCGAGGCTCACGCGTTTCCTTCTTTCGCGGTTCATAATTCATCAATAACACTTAAGTAACTTTAATTTAAAAAGACACGAACACAATTAAATCACCAGTGAATAAGCCGCGAGAGAAATGAATTCACTCAATATTGCAGGCATTATAAATTGCCACTAAGGAAAGTCATCATGATTAAAATATCAAACCCTTTACGATGGAAGAAATTAATGCCGAAAGCCGTATGAGGTCTTATTGTGTAATGCATGGTTGGTTTTTCTTTGTATTTGGGGACGAGTAAGGTTATTTAGTTGGAGCATGATGCATATTTCTACAGCCTGATGCCCAACCGCATTGCTTTCCGCGAACTAAACTACCTGACGGCGCGCCCTCTACCGGCCAGCCGAACCTCGTCACGTCAAGCCTCGGAAAGATGGCGACCGAAGCTCGGAAACAAGGAGGCAAAGCCAGCCCAGTTGTCGCTGCGTGTGCGAATAAGACGAAAGATCAGGTATCAAAATTATTATATACCGTATATATAAACATGTAAGAAGGTGACTGTATGTTTGTTTTAGAGATCGGGGGTGGATTTCATGGTGAATTACGGTTAATAAGTTAGGTGAGTGAAAAAATTCGTGCAAATTTCTCTCAATATCTGAAGGGCCCTGAAGTATTTTGTCACATATCTCGACATCCGTGAGTAAAGGAGAGTAACTACAATATATATGAGATTCTAGACTGTTTGTACATGACGAATGCAATACAAATAGGTGGATATTGGTCTACATAAAAGCGTACTAAACGTTTCCTAGGCATGTATTTTGCGATGTCGGCTGCTCGCCTATATGGGAATCTGCTTGTTCGTCTGTCCCTATATGCTGCAGTAGTCAGGCTTGAAGCTAGCGCTCTGGTAGTTACGTTTATTTATGAGTCTGTCTGAATTGCGTCCATATACGACTAAATCTGTCACCTAATTTCCCACCCATGTCACCAAAATTACATATTTTATCTATGCATACTATATTTAAAAAATATATATTGGCTTTGAGTACTTGCAAGCTGTTCAACCTAAACCAACCAACATAGAAAACGTTCTAGGTAAAGCTTTATGTGAAGCTTGAAAAGGTTTATGATTTTGGAATGATATTTCTGGAAATGTTCTAGACCGTGTTTTATTAATCATTAAATCATAAACTGTTAAATTTGCATTGCTTCCTGGATGGTATGCCTATATTATTTCACTGTAATACTGGGACATTATGCAGAAATATATGACATCTACTGGTATTTTGTCTCTTTCTACTCTGAACAATTTTGAGTAATTAATTTCTATTAAGGCTGCAAAGGTGAAATATTAGTTTTGGGTAATGACACCTGTTTTGTTTGTAAACACATAGCAGTGATTGGGAGTAGGGGGCTGCTTTGTGGTAAATATACTTGTCAGCCTCAGAACACCTGGGATTGATTCTCTCCCATTCTTGGTTTTCACATGGATGTGAAACTCTTTCAACCATTCTGCTTCCTCTGAATGAATTTGTTCCTAAGATTGTCAAATAAAAGTATTTTTTGGAAATACTTTTTCTTGAAAGTATATATTTTTCAAATATGCTTGAATTTAAGCAACAATGATTCATGTGAAGGGAAAACTGGATGAACAAAATGTCTGTTACGAAATTATTTTCTCTCTCTCCCTGGATAATATTTGAAAATACTGGAATTGCTATTTTGTTATTTTTTCAATAAGCATTCCTCAAGATGATAGATAATGTTTCATTCCATGCTGTCATGTGTCTAGCTGATACATACATACATACATACATACATACATACATACATACATACATACATACATACATACATACATACATTTTTTTTTCCCTCGTTCACTGGATGTCAATCTCAACGGCGCATCATATTGTCAATCTCAACTCCCTGGGGAGCATACAACTCTTGCAGCCACTAGGCGCACCAAGTTATTGTGGCATTCCCATCCTTACGAGCTGGGTGGACTGGGACACATAGTCACAGTACTTTGTCCAAGTTTACTGCACGTTGCTGTACCCGCAACTGGGTGTTTGAACGTTTGATTAGGCATGTTTTGTTCATGTTTTGTGCTGGTTCGTTATGGTAGAACCAAGCTTAGTAATACAGTAAATTCTATCTGATTGACATCTGCAGGCAAACTATAAACTTGTTTGTACAGACCCAGTCCATGCAGTGTTATCTGTGAAGCTAGCCCAGAGGTGTGGTCAGTGTGTCCAGTAGAGACACTTTACCACAGCTATATACTGTGTACTTAAGCCTAGATCTCTGTGTACATGTGTAAGAAATAGGTCATGGCTTGGCCTGAATGGAGGTGGATGTACAGACTGAACATCTACAGTATAGGAATTTGTTATGCAATTTTGAGGAATGATCCTCTCGTTTTGGGTGTGGCGGTGGGGTAGCCTAATGGTTAAAGCGTCTGCTCGACATGCTGAAGACCTGGGTTCGATTCCCCACATGGGTGCAATGTGTGAAGCCCATTTCTGGTGTCCCCTACCGTGATATTGCTGGAATATTGCTAAAAGCGTCGTAAAACCATACTCACTCACTCACTCACTCACTTAGTTCATAGGGAGATGATGTTTCTTGGGCTTCCTGAACACATGTCTGCTGTAAGTGATAAGTATTCAGTATTCAGAGTATTAAGTCATTCCCTGATATTTGCAGCATAAGCGTGTTGTAATGAGAGTAAAATGTGGATTGGCCGGTCAGTGTTTGACTTGCTGATTGGGTGTCATCATGCCTCATCATTGTAGATTGTTACATTGTCTCAGTGTTTTATTTCAGACAATACCATATAGTTTCAGATTAGTGCAATTTGCCATCAGTGACAACACATATTGCTCACCCACTCCCATCCAACTTCCAGTAGTTTGTGGGGCGGCGCGGTAGCCTAATGGTTAAAGCGTTGGCTCGTCACACCGAAGACCCGGGTTCTAATCCCCACATGGGCACAATGTGTGAAGCCCATTTCTGGTGTTCCCCGCCGTGATGTTGCTGGAATATTGCTAAAAGCGGCGTAAAACCATACTCACTCACTCACTCCAGTGGTTTGTAAAGCAAATGTCATTGTCATTGCAAAGCTTATCCAATACTCTCTCACTTCTGCTACGGGGTGGTGGGGTAGCCTAGTGGTTAAATCGTTCGCTTGTCACACCGAAGACTTGGGTTCAATTCCCCACATGGGTACAAGTGTAAAGCCCATTGCCGGTGTCCCCCGCCGTGATATTGGTGAAATATTGCTAAAAGCAGCATAAAACAAGACTCATTCTGACTCACTGACTTCTGCTACTTGTATGTTAGAGCAGAGCATTGCTAAGTGACATGTTGTAGAGACAAAGAAGCAGTAGTATGTGACTAAATGTTGTTTAATGCCACAGTACGCAGTATTGTAGCTGAATATGTGGCCTCAAGCTTGGACTGACTGACTGACTGAGTTTGGTTTTACTCCACTTTTAGCAATATTCCAGCAACATCACGGCGGGGGACACCAGAAATGGGCTTCACACATTGTACCCATGTGGGGATTCGAACCCGGGTCTTCGGCGTGACGAGCCAACGCTTTAACCACTAGGCTACCCCACCGCCCCCCTCAAGCTTGGACCAGAAAAAACAGTTTATGCTGGTCATCAGAACTGTGCCAACACGTTACCCAATGGGTAACCAGACTGCCTCCTGTATCTTTAGAATCTCTATAGACTGAATATTTGTCCAGAGTAGCTTATTTGACCTCACAAACAATCGAAATTTCGACTTCATGGAAACTTGTTTTTCTTTTCAGAATCTGAAGAAATACAAGCAGGCACACAGCATTGGATCTCGCAAGTTGCGCGAGAAGTTTGTATCTTATAACGACACATACCCAATGTACGAGTCAGTGATCCAGGTGTACCTGGAAACAAACAAAGACACTCTCATGTCCAAACAAGACCACAAGGCCAAGAAACGCAAGCATGATGAGATGAAAGAACCAAACAACAATGTGGTTGTCAAACCAGATAAAAAACAAGCAAAGAAAGAAAAGACTGAGAAAAAAATCAAATTAGAGAAAAAAGATAAGTTGGGTTCAAGTTGCAAAGATTCTAGTTCTGACAAAAATACAGGAAAGTCAGCCTCATTTGCTAAGAAAGTGTGCAAGGAGACTTCAAAGGGCAAGAACATGAAAGTTAAAGTGAAGAAGCCCAAGAAGGAGTTTAATGTGTATCAGTTCATGAGGCTGAAGCGGGAAGCAAGTCTAAATGCTTCTGCCAGAGTCAATATCATGTTCGAGAAACTTCCTGCTACTCCAAAGAAAACTAAACAAAGTAAGGAAGAGTCCAATGCTCAGTCCAGTGAAAAATCTACCAAGGAGAAAACAGGACCCAAAGAGAAATCCACAAAGGACAAAGTTAGCAAATCAGTCAAGGAGAAGGATAAATCCTGTAAAGAAAAAGTTGAAGATGTCAAGAAACAACGAGAAGAGATTATCAAACATAGAAAGGTAAAAATTGAAGAAAAAAAGAAAAATGCCAAATTGGATAAAAATAAAAACAAGATAGAATCCAAAGGAAAGACTTTGAAAAAAAATTAAGAAATTATTACCAAAATGTAAAGCTAAAGACAAAACTACAGATAAAAAATCAAATATTAAAAAGAAAAAGGACAAAAAAGATGATTTAAAGAAGAGAGTGAAAGATAAAATGAACTTGGTTGGAAAAACTGGCAAAAGAATAGCCAATCTGAATGCAAAGGCTTTGATGGCTGCCACGAAGGATGTGAGACCTAGTTTGGAACGTGCTGCTCGGATTGACCGCTTTTGTGTTTCGTGGAAACGCGTATCAATAGCTAGCAAACATCACCCCGCAGCACGATGGGTAGATGGGCTGGGTTCTACAGTGTGCTGCGCAACACAAGCCAGTGTGTGCATCTCCAAGAAAGAACAACAGATTTGTGAGGAATCTAAGACCACTACAACAACTGTGATGACTGCCATCCAGAAACCACCGACAATACCCGAATCAGAGGCAATCAGTGACGACCGCCCGTCCAGTGTTGTGGACGTGGTCGGGGCCCATACCCCAGTGAAACCCTTGTCCCGGGACACCCCACTGCATCACGCCCATGTTCTCATCCAATCACAACTGTGTTCCTCCATGTAATGGGTTCTCATGTGGGTCTGGTTCAGAGAGGTTTGTGGCGGCAGGGCAGTACCAGTCTCTGACGCTCGGAGGTATTGGGAGTCTCAGCAGCATTCAGATGATGTCCTACAACCACCAGTCCCCCTACAGAAGCGCATTCAGCGTGCCATTCAACCACGCCACTATTCCATCTTACAGTGAGTATGCTAATCTTAGTAAGTATTCATCTATATGGTGAAAAACACACACTAGTTGATAGGGCTGTGAAATATAACCAGTTTATCGGAATTTACCGGTTCAGACATGAAAACGATACGTATTGCGATACGCTGATCGAAAAACGGTATTTTGACTTGCATTCGGAAAACTTAGTAACACTCGGAAATCTTCGGATATTTCCTTTTTATCATTTGTGCTAAATATTATTCACATTTTTATTTTTAATCATGAATAAAAGCTTAATCAAGCATAGTGATTTTGCTGTGTATTTGCTCTATAAATCAAGCATTACCTCGATTATAAGCAGTTTTTTGTTTAAAAATACTTCATGCAATATATTGCAATACATATCGCAATACATGCTTTCGCAACGCAATATATCGCAATATGAAAATTCTCTGCAATACCCACCCCTACTAGTTGACAAACAGAATATATCCAGGGGTTGAAATATATCAAGAACATGTACTATGTAAACATTTACAAATACCCCAAAGGTTTAAATTTCTACTAGGCATTAATATACTTTTAACATTAACAAAACTATCAAGGCTTGGGGCAAGTGCTGATTTCATCCCTGTGGTCCTGGTAGTCAGGTTCTGTGGCCACCTGGGTTAGACGCCATTTGTCATATACAGCTAGTCCACTGCTCAGTTTGAACAAGTGGTTTATGTAAAAGCTGGATGTTGTGTGAAAACAATTGGATCTATCTACATTTGTTCACTTTTCCTGGACTAGTTGCCATTTCTATGTGTGAGTGGTTGGTTGCACATGGGATGTTGCTTATATATCGACCATTGGTTTTTCAATCGATTAGTTACAGGCATCAGGGATACAGCTGCAGTGTTAAGCAACAAGTACAATTAAATGTATGTACAGATAAGTGAAAGCCATAGATGTCAGAGGGTAAATTTGAGTAACCTGTTATAATCATTAGAGATGCAGAAGATGCAGTTTTGATGGGTTTACTGAAAGTATGTCACTGTACGTGTGGTTCACAGAATAACAAATCCTAGCTTATGCTTGCAGCCACTAATTTATTTAACTCTTGTTTCATGCATTAAATGCTGCCATGATATTGCTGGGTGGACCAGACAATCCAGTGATCAACAGCATAAGCATCGGGAACTGATGACATGTGTCAACCAAGTCAGCGAGCCTGACCACCCGATCCCGTTAGTCACCTCTTACGACAAGCATGGGTTACTGAAGATCAATATTCTAACCCGGATCTTCACGGGTTCTTGAGATCATAATGCCACCTTATGATCAGAATTCAGTGTTGTATGTGTAATGCGCTTGTCATTGCAGGTTACTACGGTGGGGGATTTTACCAGCCAAACCCTCCGGTGTTGCACCAGTCCATCGACCCCTGCTTGCTGCCTCATCACCTCCCCGTGCCGGTCCCCCATGCACAAGTCAAGGTTCTCATCCACAACCCTGACAACTCCCACGACTGTGCGTTCTCCAACTACACAAAACACGACAAGGAAATCCCTGAGGATCCAGCTACTGGGAACACCGTCAGCAAGAAGCCAAAAGGAGATAACAAATCGAAGCCAGAAAACCCCAAGCCAAAGAAAAAGGTTGAGAGAAGGCGCAGCAAGAGTCCGAAGGATGACGGGGTGGAGAAGAAGGGGGGTAGTAAAGTAGTTCCATCAGCCGTGCAGCGACAGATTTCTTCACCCCCGCACAGCTGGACGTGGTCAGGGGAATCTGAGATGAAGGTGGTACCAAGTTTGGTAAGTGTGCATTGAAGTAAATGCATTCTAAGAGCATTAAAATCTTCATATGTCAACTTGTTTTGGAATCAGTACAGTGTCACGGCTCCATAGTGTAATCAGCTAGTGGGATGAAAGATAATATGACTGTAAATCTCGTATCCCTTGTGGGCATCTGAGATGAAGGTGGTACCAAGTTTGGTAAGTGTTCATCTGGGTTTGAAACATAAACATTGGAGTAAGTGAAGTCTATGGGCATTAAAATCTTCATATATTTAGTTGTTTCGGAATCAGTGCAGTGATTCTCATGGCACACACATAAAGGGATGTTTCCTGTGTACAGAATAATGATCACATTTAGGCAACCTTTGTCTCAGATGATTTTACAGCACAAACTTTGATCACCTCACTTGACTCCATAGAGTGTCAAGGCTTCATAGTGTAATCAGCTAGCTAGTAGGATGAACGATGATATTACTGTAAACATTCTATCCCCTGTGGGCATCTTCGGCTGTATACTCCCCAGGGAGTTCAGAATGAGATTCATGTGCATGCTGATCCTCCGGCCAGGATAATAGATCTGTTGAGTTAAGCATTCTTCAATGGATGGAATGGCACAATATTCATACACTCTATTATGTCTACTGTCCTGTGTTGTGTGTTCTGGACTGTGTGTTGTCTATTTCAGGGGGACTCCCCACCGGTCAAGAGGAAGAGTTACCCAGCCATTAGACACAGCAGTGGGGATATCATCCGAGTGAGAGACTGTGTGCTACTACGATCTGGACCAAGAAAGAAAGACATTCCATTTGTAGCCAAAGTTTCTGCTCTTTGGGAACATCCCGATGACAGTCAGTATTTGTTCTGATTGATCCTAAAATGTATCTTTGTAATGATAGATACATGTCACTAGAGACACTAGTACTCATATCTGCAAGTTTAATATGCGCATAAAACACTCTTGGGCCATCACAGATGACTTGAAACACAACCAAAGCATATTTTCATTGCTGCGGAGTTCTTTGGTGGCAGATAAGTCATAAGGGGTCGGTGGGGTAGCCTAATGGTTAAAGCGTTGGCTCGTCACGACGATGACCCGGGTTCGAATCCCCACATGGGCACAATATGTGAAGCCCATTTCTGGTGTCCCCCGCCGTGATGTTGCTGGAATATTGCTAAAAGCGGCGTAAAAACCAAACTCAAGTCAGTCAGTCAGTCAGATAAGTCATAATGAATTTGTAGGTAGAAGTCACATCTTTCATCCCAGAGTATCATATAAGCAGGATATTCTCTGTTCGAAACAATATTTTACAGCACTTAATAAATAGATCTACAACAAACCAATTAATCATCATTGTGAAGTTAAAATTTGCTGAACAAAGCAAAGATTCTCTTTTGGGATATCAGCGATTCATAGCACTGTCTGTCTTTTGGGGCTGGAGTGTCTAAAAACATGGAATCAGGTTTGTTGTATATTGGCTGCAATGACTGTTGAATATAGAGAGTTCTCGATTGAAAATCATCTTTTGACTATCCATTGTGTATCCATGGTTACAGGTGAGATGATGATGAGCTTACTGTGGTACTACCGTCCGGAACACACAGAGATCGGCCGTAAACCACACCATGTAGACTGTGAAGTGTTCGCTTCAAAGCACAAGGATGAGAACAGTGTTGCCTGCATTGACGACAAGGGCTATGTGCTCACCTTTAACGAGTATTGCAGGTAGGCACAAGATTCTCATGAAACAATGTATAAAGATAAAAGGTGAGGTAAAGTATGGTTTGGAAGTGGCATGCACCATACAGACTCAGATCCAACCAGACCTGGTTTAATCCCCTTAAGACTTCCAAAAGTAACATCTTCTAATGCAGAGCTCCAGATAAGATTTAGCTCATGTGGGTACTGTACCCACTGTATGTTTTTGGAGTGGGTATTATGAATGTTGTGTGGGTATTTCATTTTCCGTTACCCACTGCTTTCAAATATGTGCGTATTTCAGTCACTTTACTCACCTAAGTATTACGTCATTGAGTAAGTTTACTAAGCAGGTATGTTCTGCCTTATGTCATACCTAATCAAAACCAACTTAAATATAATGGAAATAATTTCATAAAAAATCACTCATCCTATACTGACAGTACAACACTTGTCCTATACAAACAGTACAACTTGATAGCAATCGATGTCTTTTTCATTACGCAAGCAATTTTTATAAATATATTCCGTATGCATTTGATTTAAACTTTTTGCGTATCTAACATTTTAAATGCGTAACTGATACACAACAATTATTTTTCAATGCGTAATTGGAAACTTTCTATGCGTATTTTACCCGGATACGCAGCTTATCTGGGCCTCTGTAATGTCTCTTAGTATGACATCAAACCCCCAACCATCCACTCTCCACTGAAGCACTGAGATGGTTGTATCCTGAAACAAACAAATCTATTCAATAAGTTTTCTGAGACATGCCAAAAACTATTTTGCCATAAATCAACATTTCAATTAATCCGTAGCTAATCTTCTGACTTTCAAAACATTGACAAAGATATTCCATGTGTAAAATGTGAAGACAATTTCTACCAGGTAGAGTTATCTCCCTTCCATTGTGTCACCGTTCCTTCATGCTTTCAGCCTTTCTTGCAGTGTTTTCTTCTTCATGGCTGTGATAACGTTCTGTGTAGACTCAGGCATCAATTGAGCATTAATGTGTCAGCTAGGGGTGGGTATTGCAGAGAATTTTCATATTGCGATATATTGCGATGCGGAAGCATATATTGCGATATGTATTGCAATATATTGCAAGGATTATTTTTTAACAAAAACTTCTTATAATCGAGTTAATGCTTGATTATAAAGCAAAAACACAACAAAATCACTGATTGATTAAGCTTTTATAAAAACTTTTAATCATGACAAAATAAAAATGTAAGTAACATTTGGCACAAATGAAACAGGGAAAAGAACAACTAAAAAAACGGAAATATCCGAAGATTTCCGAGTGTTACGAAGTTTTCAGAATGCATGTCAAAATACCGGTTTTCGATCAGCGTATCTGAACCGGTAAACCGGTTATATTGCGCAGCCCTAGTGTCAGCCCCATCACAATACTGAAATAGTGGTAATGGTTTGTCTACTTGCTTTGGGTGGTGGGGCAGCCTGGTAGTAAGGCGTTCGCTCGCTGTGCCGGAGACCCGGGTTTGATGCCCCACATGGGCACAATGTGTGAAACCCATTTCTGGTGTCCCTTCTGTGATATTGCTGGAATATTGCTAAAAACAGCATAAAACTAAACTCACTCCAACTTGCCTCAAATCTAGCCTGCATCCTACACTGAACATTGACATATACGAAATAATGTTCGATGCTGTGTTTTCCCAGTGGGATTGCAGATGTGAACACACACCCAGAAACCTATGCTGGAGGTGAGTTTAAGGATTGGTTGATCAGGCTCTGGGTCTTTGTTGAATGGTCATTGTACACTATAGATGTTGCAGATAACATCAATCGCTGGTTTGTGTACACCATGTTTGAATATTTACAGGTCACTATCATCAAGATCATATTGCTGAATGCGGAGTTACCAACAAACAGTTATAGATAGTGTGTCTATTTATCAGTGCATCAGTTTCCATGGTTAAGAATCATATACTCAGTCATATATATATATATATAGACACACACACACACATATCCTTGCGTAATAGGGGCGGTGGGGTAGCCTAGTGGTTAAAGCGTTGGCTCGTCACGCCGAAGACCCGGGTTCGAATCCCCACATGGGCACAATGTGTGAAGCCCATTTCTGGTGTCCCCTGGCGTGATGTTGCTGGAATATTGCTAAAAGCGGCGTAAAACCAAACTCAGTCAGTCAGTCCTTGCGTAATAGTGGGGCAATGGGGTAGCCTAGTGGTTAAGGCGTTTGCTTGTCATGCCAAAGACCCGGGTTTAATTCCCCATATGGGTACAATGTGTGAAGCCCATTTCTGGTGTCCCCCCCGTCCGGCTGATATGGCTGGAATATTGCTAAAAATATTTACTTCCTGTGGTTTAGACTGTAAAACATGTTCAAACTCACTCACTCACAAACAATGGTATAATAGAATGTCACTTTTAATATTTTCAACTTGATTAATGTCCGGGTAAGTCAGCTTCAAAGTTGATAACCCGGTTCGATTCCCCACATGGGTACAATGTGTACATATGATATGTGGAATATTGCTAAAAGTGGCGAAAAAACTAAACTCACTCACTCACTTGTATAATATGTCAATCAGAGGTTCTCCATAATGCAGAGGTTCTCCACAATGCAAAATAATGGGTAAATATGGAATACGCAATAATCAAACTTTTAACTTTCAGACATCTGCAATTTCAACACAGCAGTGTTTGATGTTTTATAATACTGTGACAGAAGGATGCTCACTTTACCTTTTCTGTCTGCAGGTACCGAGCGGAAGTCTCCCGAAGTGATCAGCATGCTTGTGTACGATCTAAAGTAGTTCCTGACATGGAAGGAGATAATCCTATCCTCCATCGTATGCCAGGAGTTGACGTCGACCCATCCACAGTGTTCGTATGTCGACAGGTGTATGACTTTAGGCAAAAGAGAATGCTTAAAAACCCATCTTGAGAACTGACCCTGAGTTTAGTGACCGGTACTGGACCATCGAGTGTGAGTTCGCGACGACAGCATAACCTTCACATCTCGACCAATAGGACCCACACCTCCCCTTGGGGGGCACAGTGTGCAATACATTTTTATCAAGGACCTTTTCAGTATTGCAGCTGCCTTCGTTTGGAGGACAGCATGTTTCAGTGTTTGAATGGTGAGAGTGTCTACCTGCCTTATTCCATGTACACAGATGCTGTGCAAGACGTTCATCACAGTGTCCCAAGTAGATGAGTCTGATGTCTCTCAAGGTAAAGACATCTCTCCTGAGGTGATGAAGATTGAAACGTCTTGGTACATCTTGGTAGAAGTCAACAATTAATTGTTATGTTGAACTTACGTTTTCTTCCATGCCAAACTACATTACCGTAGTCCTGATGCTAAAACACCCATTTAGCAGCAAATGTTCATACATTTCTATGGTAACGTAAACCACAAATTGAAGTTTTTGAATAAGTCTTTCTATTTGTATGAATGTTTGTGGAATAGTTTGTAGCCTATATTGCTTAAGAAATTAGGAGACTTTTTATGTTAAAACCTTTAATATATTCAACCTTTGGGAGGGACAACCATATATATCATTCTTTTTATATAAGCACTTGTAATGTAATGAAAACCATTTTTGTATATCATGGAAGGTGAATAATATCCTTTTCAAAAGTTTAGTGGCATATTTGTATAATTCGTGCATTCTGAGCAGTGCCATATATTATTTATGAGATGTCCAATGTGATACAATACTTTCATAAATCTAAAAAGTTTCTAGACATGTGACATTAGTTTAAAATATATTTATAGAAAAAATGGCTCTTTTGCAGCCCAGCAACACAATAGATATTCTTTGTATTATGAATAATGCAGAATGTGTAGTTGTTGCCATGGTTACATGGTAAATGTCTAGAACATACTCACAGAATATGATCAAAGAGACCTGAATCAGCACGTGCTGACACTGCACTTTTTCCCTAGATCTGAACTGTCTCCTAAAAATCATGTGTATGCCTGAGTGCAGAGGGGGTGGGTGAAGACCACGCCCTAGTGTGTTTGTGTGATGTGGTGTCTCAAAATAACAGTTCTTAATGAATATCTTCACAGCTTGATCTCGGTGTTTATCAAGATGTGAACACTGATGATTGACACCAACAATGTGATTTTTTGGTATGTCACATTTTTTTACTCTGTGCTGTTCCAGTAGATTGTCTGCAGTGGTCAATGCACTGTTTACATTATGTCAGAGTGATGTCATGGTTGTCAAAATATCAGGCATGTCTGGATGACAATTTGTTGACAATATGATCATGATAATACATTAGATTAATGTTAACACCCACAGTGTGAAGATATATCATGTGTGAAGCCCATATCTGGTGTCCACCGCCTTGATATTGCTTGAATATTGCTAAAAGGGGCAAAAACCAAACTCAGTCAGTCAGGAGTGAGGATAGATCATGTGATTATCAAGGGTATGTGACTGTGTCAACAAACTCAGGGGCAAAATTTTATGTCATTATTTGGTTAAGATTGATTAGAAACAAATGATACAGCTTTTAAAAATATCCCAAAGTAACAATCTTTAGAATGGTAATTGATCAAACGGCTTTGTGGTACTGCCACAACAAAACTAAGGTAGTGCCAATGCCAAAATATTTGCAGAAATTGTCTTGAACAGAATAGAATACAGAATTTGTGTACACATGACACTAAGATGTGTTGGATGTAGACACCTGGATGTGCCCAGGTGTGTACAGGTGTGTTTGTATTGTCTGCGTCATTTCCTTCATCCTTGTTTATTGTTTATCAGTTTTATACGTTAATTTATTTTTTATGTTCATGTACATGCAGAAAGCTTCTGAATGTATGAATTAATCTCTTTTTATGAGGACAATTGAAATTTTAGTTCAGAGTTTATTGAATGTTGGGATCAATTAGTTTTATATGATTACATGTTTTGAGTATTTAATTTTTGGTGATATCATGTACATAATGTAGAGAATCTCTCAGTGCAGACAAACCCTGGTGTCTACCATTCTATAGCTGGCTAGAGCCAAAGGGTTCCTTGGGGGCACCCACTTGCATTGTGTCAATAATGGTAAGTTCGGCATCTCGATGTTCTTTAGTTCATTGGATGCCAGCAACTGCGGTACCTCAGGAACTGTTACATCTATGATCACCTGAAACTCATCAGTGACTACAGGAAGTGCAATACATGCTCTATACAGGTGTACTACACTCAAGGAACCCCTCTATTCCAGCTTACCACCTATAAATATGTTCAGTACTGTTCTTGTGGACGGACAATTTTAGTGTCATATCATCTCCGAAATGGGATATTGTGGCACACTATGGTTTCCAGATTTGCCGAACCAAGTTGTGCCAGAAATGGTAACAAGACAAATTTTAATGCATTGTATCCACTCACAGTTAATGCTCTTTGCATAACATTATTATTACCAGGTCAAGCGGTCAGTGTGTTAGAGTATGTATGTTTCAGGTGACTGAACAATGAATTTGTTAGTGGAATTCAAGTCACCCAAACTTATTGTTTTGTTATGAAAACTGTACATTTTGAAACCTATTATGGTTGTATTATGACAACAGAAAGTTGCAACACAGACTTGGGGCTAATGGATAACAAAAGATTGCTTGTGTCGGTCTGGTAATGTGCTGTGATGAGATCTGTGTATATATATAACACTGCCATGGTGATGTACAAGCAATAAGGTGGACAGACCAGGAATATATAAAGCAGAGAGGTTTTAGGTGGCTATAACTTGTGATATCAAATGGATTTAGCAGGTAAGCCCTATATTCCTGACTGAGGAACTCTACATACACAATAAGCACAAGGGTTTTCTTTATTCAGCCGCTCAGCACCTAAAAGTGGGTATTGTAAAAGGTATTTCAAGTTGAAGATTGTTATAAATATTTATTTTGTTTGTATAGCCTTTGGAATTATTTTCAAGACAGACATAATAGGAGATCTGAAGAGGTGTCATATATTACTGACTGAAAGGTTTAGACTATAGGTGCTTGGGTTCTTAATTGAAAGTGACTCATAAGCTGAGACGGTTAGGTCAACATAGTTTTCGATATTGTGTTATGCAATGCGAATCCAGGGCGCATCTATCCAAAGTTTATGCAACTAGAATTGTGGTGAAGTTTCACTAGATCCCTAGACACCATTCACTTTGGTAGTGGCTGAGCACATATAACAAGGCAACACCTTGTCAGAACCCGATATATAGCTTTGTTATGGACTAGAATTCCCAACTTGTTTAAGTGGTACTGAGATAGTGGTTAATGAACTGTGACAAAGTCTTGAAATAGATTTGATACACATGTGAACCTTGTTTCATCTACAGCATACAGTATGATTGAATATGTTTTGTGTATGATTGTTAATTAGTTATCATGAATCAGTTATTCCAATTGAACCATTGATCATCCCAAAGTAATGAGAAGCCTGTCTTCAAGGAGTTGCTCTTTGTGCAATTGTTTATTATGTAAAGTTAGATCTGTGGGGTGTTGGTCACACCCAAACTTCAGAAGATAGTCCTTCTGTTGTCCTACCAGTAACATGATGCATTTAAAGCTATACTTAGTGAACACTGTCCTTGTATAGTCAACCCTCTTCCTCCCCATATAGCAGCATAATTTATACCCATGTCCACCACATCCACTATCTTGTTGTGTTTTACCTGTGATCCAAGTGTGTTCAGTCTTTCGCTTTGTGGAAATGTTCCTAGTGAAGCAATATCATTACTCCCACGATTACCAGAAATATATGTACATATGTGTTTGTATGCTCAGCAATCACGATGCAAGAGGCCCGTTTATTAGTCTACAGAGTGGTGTCAGATATATTTTATTGAATATTTTAACACAAAAACATCATTGCACTCATGCTATAGTATTTTATTATGTGATTGATTTTATGTCAAGGAGATGGTTGTTTCTGGGTATATCTTGTATATGAGTAGATTTGTGTTCATAATAATTGTACATAACTCCCCACAAAGCATTGTCAGTTCACAGTGAACAAGATTCAAAACACATTGTACAAATGGTGTGCTGTTTAGACTTGTGTCATTTTTAGAGTAGGGACGTTTTGTTGGTACCTTGTTGAATGCATGCCTATTAAGACACTGTCTTTGTCTGAAGCAAGACAGCAGTGTATTGTGAACATGTTGTCTTGGCTAATAATCTCAGACGAAATCATAGGCAGCAACTGACATTCCAATACCTCCTTTGTGAGGGTCTTCAGTCAGCATGTCACAGTTCAATCACACCATCCCTGGTTTACAGAACACGGAGGACAGAGTATCCAGGCTAACATTATGCATGCAGAACAAATCCAGCCTCCATGAACATGCATGTAGGAAAGAATGACAATCCGGCCTTCCATCTTCATTCATTCATTGAACATGCATGCAGAACAGAACATGCATTCAGAACAGCACATCAGAACAATCAATGACCATGCATGCAGAACAGCACATTCATAGAACATGCATGCAGAACAGTGCACCATGCATGCAGAACAGCACATTCATAGAACATGCATGCAGAACAGTGCATTCATTGACCATGCATGCAGAACAGTGCATTCATTGACCATGCATGCAGAACAGTTCATTCATCAACCTTGCACAATAGTACTGTCCATTCTAACATCCACATGCATGCTGTAAATGTGACACTCCAACTCTACACACATTATGACGCAGCAAGCACCTTACAATCATGTCTCCCATCAACATGCATGCAGAACACATACAATCCAACCCATGTTAATGCATGCAGCACATGTTTAACAATCATATCTTCCATCAACATTCATGCATCTCACACACCACTATCTAACATATTCGTGCAGTGCATACATCAAGTAGTCATCTTTATGAATGCAAAACATAATCAACCCGGTCACCATCATGCCTGCAGAATATTACAGATTAATGTAACCTGCCACTGATATGCATGCAGACCTTTGTCACCATTGTGCATGCAGTTAATGTAGACGGCCTACTGTTCAGTAGACACTTGTGGCACATGGAGAACACTTCACTATTCAAAGAAATATACCGCAGTGGCTCAGTACACCGTTTCATATGTAGAAAAACTAAACTGGCCCGTCCTCATTATCATACAAGCTCTAAACATACCAGTTTTGTGACGGTTATTTACCCGCACAGGTTATACATGTACCTTAGGATGAGGTACTGGTTGATATTTCCGTGCCGGATTTCCAACGTGAACGAAGTGTGTACCTGAACCATTAGGGTTACAAGAGAGCAAGGCCTTCCTAGAACATGTGTTTATATAGATGATAACCTGTCATGACTGATCAAGCAGGATTTCGCCAAGTACCCTTCGTGATGGGGGTACTGCTTAAAACGGCTTACACTTCCATCACCGGAGAACAAGCCCACATGCTGACGCTACTAAAGAATCAAAACTCCTTGATCATAGTGTTCATCAAACCGTGATCGTTGTTGCACTAGTGGACGTGAATGCCTTTCTCCCATATGTCCACTACGTGGACAGGAAGCACAAACGTGTGTGGACTAAACCTCCTCGAACCGTTCAACAACGTACGCTGTTCATGAACACATGATCAGTCGATATTTCCCCACATGTTGGGTCTCATCAAACGCACTCTTCAACCTTGCCATTTTTCTCCATTAGCCACTGAAAAATATACATTTTATTTGAATTCATGTATTTATATCAATGTTTGTATGAGTGTTTGAATCTTAAACCATTTATCTTGGGTTTATTTTTCGTCATGAGATTTATACGCAATTGGTCATTATTGTGACAGGTAAATTTGGCGACGTTGATTTGACTTCATGCAATGAATGTATGAGAATCTATCAGTATACCCGCTCTAGCTTCCCCCTGTAAAGTCATCCCCTCCACCGCCACACTGAGCATCTGTACATATGTAATCATTATGGTATTGTGGCCTTACACGTTACACCACCAGTCAGAACACCGTCTCCTGGTTATGATAATCATTAAGTAAAACAATACACAGCCGAGTTTTTCAAATGATTAACTATAGCAATATGAAATCAGTATGATTGTTTCAAATGACGCTAATGCATGTTACGGATAATTTAGTTCCATACTCTCTAATCTTAGTTTGGATTATATTCAAACGTTTAGTTTTTTAACTCTCAAATCTTAGTTCATTTAGCATTTGCTATAACATTGTTTTTAAATCAAATCATGTCAAAATAATATTCAAATCGTTTCTGGACATTTTGAGAAAATGTCTTTCTTTCTGTTCGTGTCGGTGATGCGACTTTTGATGAAACGACGGAGTCGAGTGCTGT